CCGCCCGCCCGCCCTCTCGCGCGTGCCGGCCACGCCTCCTCGGTCCACCGGGACCAATGAGCGGTCAGTTCTGGTCCAGCTCCTCCCGTACCGCCCAATTAGCACGCTCTCTGTTCCGTCGACCTGTTAGCTCTTCGCCTGAAGCGCCACCGCCCCTCATCCTCCTTGGCCAATCGCCTTAGAGCTCTGAGAGCGTCCCACCCGCCTCCCTCGATCCGGGCCCGCCCCCAAGCCGCGGTCGGGAACGGTCTCCGCCCCGCTGGAGAGCTTGGAGTTTTTGGGACCACTGCCCAAAGTGAACCCGCCGAGACTCTCCGGTCAGTGACTTCCGGGACTTCCCCATCCCGCGCTCTCCGGCTTCCCCCAAGCCAAGTTGCTCATGGCTCCACCCCCATCGCACATCAGGCCACTGGAAGGGGTGGGAAGCTGGATGCTGGAAGAGTTCAGCGAGGAGCTGTATTTAAGGAACTGTTTTAAATAGCAGAGTGCGTTTTTCTTAATTAAAACTGAAGTTAGTTGTTGCAACGTCTCCTCGTAGAATTATAGATGTGATGTTCAGTTTTTAAAAGAAAAGGTATTTTCTATGTCCTTTACTGTGGAGGTCTTGGGGGAGGGGGGGTATAAAATAAGACCCATACTGCCGAGACAATTTAAGTATAATATCTAAACGTGAATCCAGTTATACCACCGAGTTGTCGAGCGCCTGCCATGTATCTGTAAAAACTGTGCTCAGAAAAGTCCCTGGAGTTACAGCCACCTTACAGAAAATTTGCAGATTCTGGAATGGGGAAGAAATATCAACATATCATGCAAGTCAGAATGAAAAAGTACAAGTTAGAATAATAGACAACTTGATGGAGTCTGTGAGCAGACATTACATAAACACATACACACATATACATACATATATATATATATATGAGAGAGAGAGAATGCCGTTTGGATGTTTTTTTTTTAATAGGGACCCCTATTTAAAAAAAAACCCTTAGCAAACATAACACCCTTAGCATAACACCCTTAGCAAACAGTAGTATAGAACTGATTGTATAGGAAAGAAAGTAACAATAGGGCATCTAGATTATCTCCCAATTTATGGTGATTCGACATGATTCATTTTCATTGGACCAGCAAGTGTGTGCTGTGATGCCCTATCCCAGTGCTTGACTGCCTTAACAAGTCACAGTTTCCGAGCAACTGGGCATTCTCAAGGCTAAACAGCTGATGCTCTAAAGCATACTAATACTGACATAGGTAGGATGTCGGCTACCTTCCATTTATTATATGTACTGTTGCCTTACAGTATTTTCATGTTATGGTAGGTTTATCAAATGTGTCTTCATCAAAAGCTGAGAAGCGTCAATACTGGGATGCAAAGTCAGAGAGATAGCTCATTGATTGAGAGCCCTTGCTGCCAATCCTGATGGCCTGAGTTGTCCACTGTCCTCAGTTGTGCATTGTGAAACTTTCTCCTGCCCCCCTCAACTAAATACATGATTTTTTTTAAGAAAAAAGAGAGTGATATGTATACTCAGCCAATAAGTGAAGCTATATAATAAGCAGTTGTGTAAATGTCAATTTGAGAAGTTGGAAATTGAGTCTGGAATTCGTGAATACATGTGATAGCCATAAACGTATAAAAGACTGTCACCATCAGAAGAAGATCTGAGTATTGGAAAGGACCCCAGAGACCATCCTTTTCAAGTTTTTGCATGCGTCTCACACAATAAGACTTCTGCTCAATGTATTTGATAAGCATTTATTGTTTATCAAAGAAAGCCTTGCTGTAATAGGCTCAATATATAAGTGACACTGGTCACACAAAGTTCATTGAGAGAAGCTTACATTCAGTGGAGAAGACGCACATTTAAACAGATCCATTGTCATAAGTGCCAACTTGTGAACTGACAGACCCAACATTATGACCCACCCTGGCAAACAGCCAGTACGAAGCCCAGGCTTCTTGGGATAGACTATCCCTGAAACAAATCTCTCCCTTGTCAAACCACCCCTTCCATACGGGCAGTCAGTGATGACTGTGGACCACAGAGTGAACACAGCAAAGGACTTGAAGTCTCTGGCTGGTATTCCTTCAACTGTGTAACTGCACCAGAAGCAGAGTGAGCTAGAACATGTATGGAAACCTTTCTAGAAAAAATAAAGCTGTGGTTGTGGCTCTTGCACCTCTGGGGAATACAGCCTGAAAAGATTCAGTATTTGTTGTTAATAAATACCCCTAGAGCAAGAGAGAGGAGTGCTCACGTTTTCTCTCTATTTAGTAATTTTTTAAAAGAGTTCTCAAAGTGGAGATTAGCATGGTGAAAGGTTCAGAGGTCAGGACAAGGAAAGAAAGAAGAGAAACCAGTGTCTGGAAAATAATGCTATCTGTCTGGGTTTTTTTTTTTTTCTATATCATTTTATGCTTCAGCTTCCGGAGTTGAGAACACCCCTCTGCTGCCTGAGCATGAGAAATCATAGGTGGAGCACAGATGTGAGGGAACTGAAATGTGCTGCCCACTCTGTCTCTCCTCTTCTGACTGCTGAGTACAACCAGCTTCAGAAGGCTACTGGAAGATAATGAAATGTTTCTCAGGAACCTCCCACAAAAGTCATATATCAGACATTCGTGTCTGGGACAATAACTGCCAGGAGGAAATCCTTCTCCCACCCCCCACATACTTCTTTAGTCAAACTTACCATTTCCTTTGCCTCTGAGACTCAGTTTCCTTGCAGGTTAGCATCTGCTGAGGCAATGGGAGTAGGATGATTTTGCTCATGAGACTCACCTACATAGGGCCAGGACTGAATTGCTGATTCTGAAAATCAGGACCCAAAGTGAATAGGTTTGCAGAAGGCTGCCATAATAAGAGTCATAGCTAGGGTGTGTCTCCTAGACAACCCTGGCCCCTGAGTTTTCCTACAGAATATCAAAAAGATGAGAGCGTTAGAGATTCCTTTGGGTGCAAAGTGACAGAACAAGCCCGAGCTGAGTGGAGACTTCATTACACATGAGTTCCTGGACATGAGCCAGAGCTTGCGACAATCACAGTTGTCTCTTCTGACTGAGAAATGAAATAATGCTTTTAATGTAGGTTCTGGGGAAGATTAGGACTTTAGGAAAACACCACACAGGGTAGTTGGATATAAAATACTAGGAATTAAAGTATGCATCATTTTAATATATATTTACTTCATGTGAAGGCATTTAAAAATAGAAACAGATTGCCAATGTGAATTTTAATTCACAAGATCTCCACCCTAATGTCTTTTTCTTCCTCTTTTTTCTCACTGTTGCTGTTCTTTTATCTTCTTTTAATCAATAAAAAGCAACAGGAATTGATGTAGAGAAAAAAGAAATATGAAGAGTCACACCCCACAGTTTCATCTTGTAAATGAGCTCAGGAAATGAGAATGGAGGGAAAGCCCCTGGGGCTGGCAGCCTGTGCTCCTGTCACTGCACACATCTGGGTTTTAATGACACGATATGGTAAGAATCATTTGGCACCATCATTGCTGTTAAATGTCTTTCAAGCATTAATAAAACATAAGAGACTTGCTTAAAATGGCATTTATGGTGGAAACCTTACGGTGATGGTATGCGATGAATCACTGGTGAGTTTTATCAGTGGCTGTGCTTCTGACAGGGTAACTGGAAGTGGGGAATGAAGGCAAGTTTGCTTTTTTGATCTTCCCCTGAGCTCACAGAGAAAGAAGCCCATGGCAGTTCTAGGGAAATATTTCAAACTTCAAACACTGGAGGCCTAAGATCTGGTTGCTGTTCTCACAGGAGCATTTTCTTTTTCTTGTGGGCTACCGGGACAAATGTTTACAGCCATGCTTGTTACTGATCTGCTAATGATCCCTTCTGTGGACAGAAGTGGTTTGGATGCATCCTTTCCTTTATGTGGTTCGTTCCTTCTAGTTTGTCTTTTCAGACAAGGTTTCCAGGTTTATTCCTCAGATTTTCTTAGCATTTTTCAACTTTTGAGAAAGATATTTGTTAAACAAATGTAAGTGTTTTATATATATGTTATAATATATATATATATATATATATTATATTAGAATGTGTTTACTTCCTGTAAGTAGGTTATGAGTCATGAGTTCTAACTTTTTTCTTGTAAGATTAACAACAGTGTGTGTCAGTGACTGCTTTGATTCCTTTCTGCTGTATTTGCAGGTACTGCATCTGTCTCTTTCGTTTCTCCTTCTCCATCATATTCTTACTCCTTTCATTTTTCTAGGAATACGAGCAACTTGAGATTGAGAGTGTAGCTCAGTTGTAGAGTACTTGCCTAGTATACAGAAGACCCTGGGATTAGATTTTATTTTTGTACCAAAGGTAAAATAAGTAAATAAAATTAACTGGTTAAATCTCTTGTGGTTCAGAACAAGAAGCCTCCACTCTATTGTTTGTCTGTGATGGAGGCTTCAAAGAAATTTAGTGAGAACATGTGAAAATTGCCTAGAAATGAGAGAATTAAATATACATGAGTGGTTAACATATCACTTAAATACAAATACTGAAAACAGCAGAGGGTTTGAGAGTATGTATTTTAAAAGTGAAGTCGTTTCGTGCTGCCATGGCTTTATGCTGTGCCTTTTCCTGTAGAGATGTTTGCTGGGAACAGTAAGAATTAAAGTAAAGAACTGAGATGCTAGTTAACATCTGAGAAACCTAGTTGTGTTATAACATTGTGGAAACATCCCTGGATTAGGTGCATACATTGAGCTCCTGCTGAAAGTGTTCCTAAATCACCAGCAAGGCTCAGACCTCAGCTTAAGTTTCTCTGTCCAATTGCAGAAAATGGCTGAATACTGTTATAAATGTAAAGATGAATATTTCTATGTTTTTATTGGCTGCCTTCCTCCCCTTCTTTCCCACTTTGTCCCCCCATTGATGACACAGTGCGATCAATAATTAAAGGTCCTCCAGACTAGCTTACAAAAGATACAACTTTAATAAAACAGAAGGAAAAACTTACACCAGAATCCCAACCATCTGGAACGCTGGATCCAGGCCAGAGAGAGAGGGCTGGGGAAATGCACCTGCCAGGTTTATAGATAAACTTTTGCCTTAGGGCAACACGCCCCACGGACAGAATGTGATTGGCTGAACTCCCCTATCATCTCCCCCTTTTTTCTAAAATAAGACAGAACAAAACCAAATACAACTATATACAATAGAAACAAATAATAAATATAAAGTTACAAACAACAAACAATATTAAGCAAGAAACATATAACAAAAGTTTTACTAAACATCCTATTTCAAGGAGTCTAAATAATGTAGAGGGTAACTACAACTATCTAATCTTCAACTCCATCAAAGATCTGAGAAGGGAA